CATTGGTGGTTCATAGGTACTGGACATGACCAATAAGAACTCAAAGGCATGATATGACTAATTATTGATGAGTTTTTAACTTGACTTAAGAAGTGTGCCTAAAACACATGAGGTTTAATTGTTGGGTTTGTGTAATTTCAATAGATGGATTGCGTTTTAATTGGCGGTCTTGATAGCTTGGGAGTTTCTCTGAGTTTATGTTATCTTGGGGCTTATATGCATTGGAAAGCTTAAGTTTTAATTATATTTGTTTGTTGGCTTTGGGCTAACCCAAATTGATAGGAATGGAGCTTATATTTATTGGAAGACCCATTGAGAGGGTCTCCTTTCTCCTTAATAACTTCTGAGGTGGTTGCTTTGTAGTCTCTTGAAATAATTATTTTAGAATGATCTTTGGACTATTCCTTTTAACCCACCAAGTCATCTTAAAGTCATTATGAGTTATATGATAGCTTTTAGAGTTTTTTGTGTGTTCATAGTTCTCCTGTAAAATTGTTGAAGCTTAACTCTTGGGTAAACATTTTCATTTCTTTGGTTTCTCCCAATTTGATGCAAGACTACAATGTTTTTGAATGTATGCGATAAGAACTTGCGCGGTTTTGATATGAACAATTACGATTAAGACTATTAGCAATCAAAACAATAAAAGAAAACGTAAAAGGGGTAGCTACGCTTAGGCCAAATTACATGCCAAACACTTGGATTATCAAAATAACTTAGAATTTTAACAACATGTGAATTAAGTAGTTTTCAACAAAATCCCTAATCTAACAATAAGATAGCAACATATAAAGCACACTCTATCCTACGTTTACTAAGCAAAGGCAAAAGACGAAGCACGGCTCCTTGTGACTTAATCACCACCTATAAGATTAGTGGATTAAGAAATTAAATGAAAAGGGGAAGAATTTCACCCTTGGGATGGCCCGGAAACGATTTGCCACTGGACGTTGGCAAGTTGTTCTTCAATGGCCTCCGAAAGCGTGAAGATGATGCGGTCCACGTACTCTTCAATGGAACGATCAACTTCCGGGTTGAAATCAAAGAAGGTGAAGTGGAGGATGTTGACGTTGCCTTGTTCGTCGTAAGCGAATCCGTAGTCAAGCTCTGGATTGGCCATTCATTGGCTTTGAAAGAAGGATGTGTAGACGAAGATCAATGTTGATTCCCTTGGAGACTTCTCCAGGGAGAAAAAAGTTTCTCTCTCTAGACTTTATTTGGAGAAGGAGAGAAGAGTGGCCGGCCTATGAAGGAGGATAGGTTGAATTAAATTTGTTTCAGATTTTGTGGAGGGAAACTGATTCAAGCAGCTTCTAATTAATCCTCTTAATTGGGAGAAATTAAAAAAAGGGAGAAAGAGAGAGGGGCGGCGGCAATGGAGAGGAGGTTTGGGATTTCTTTCCAAAACTAATTATGAGATTTTGGAAAGTAATAAGGAGGTGGGGGCTCTTGGAAATTTCAGCCAAAGAGGGATATGAAGGTTTGAATTAATTCCAAAAGGGGAGATGGGCTTTAGGAAATAAATCCAAGGGAGAAATAATGAGGGGGCCGGCGGCAAAGTGGCTAGGGAGGGATTTAAAGGAAGCTTTTAATGCTTCCTTAAGTTAGGGAATCAAATTTGGGATGAGATATTTCATTCCCATTTAAATTAAAAATCAAATAGGAAGGGATTTGGAAACTTTCCTAAAATAGGAATGATATTTTAGATGAATTTTCAAATTCAAATAAATTTGAATTTGCAAAGCAATTGAATTACCTAAAATATTCAAACCCAATTAGGAAAGGGGTAATTGCAAGCAATGATGGAGGGAAAGACAAGTGGAGGGCCGGCGGCTTATGGTTTGGCTGTGGGTGGTGTTGGGGGAGAGGGAGGTGGGGTCGGATGGGGTGGAGGTGGGAGATTTAGCCGACGGTGAGGGTGGGGCTAAGATGGCCGACGGCTTGGGTGGTGAGAGCGGTTTTAGTTGGCCAATGGCTTAGGGTATGAAGGGAAGAGGAAAAGAGATAGTGAAGAAGAACCACGAACCCGGCCATCTCCAAGGTTGGTGGGTGATCCGATTTTCCTCTCCTAGGAATTTCTCTCCCAAGCACTCTCAAAATCTCACAAAGAAGTCAAGCAATGCAAAATTTTTATTATTCATTCATTAAACATGAAAAGAAAATATTAGGGCTATATATAGCCTCATATAAAGGACTCAAAATAAAAGACGACAATGTCCTTTGGGCTTACACACAACCTCCCTTAAGTAAGGGGTAAAAGCGGAAAAATAATAAAACAAATACATCATCACATAATAATAGACAAATACATAATACAACTCAGAAATACATCAACTCAATCGTGGCTGTAGATCGACGGCCACGTCTTTGATAGACTTTTCAAGCTCCGATGTCCCCATCACAATTGGCTTTGCACTAAAAGATTAAATTAGTGTGGAATGGATGAAGTCTAAAACATTTGAGAACTCTCTTGTATCCTGGTTTAGCCTTAAGTAATATGGAGAGAAATCTTCCTCAACAAAGTCAATAGAAATCTAATTGCTTAGAAAAAGCCAACCAGCCCCTTGTGATCCTCCTCGATGTGTGAGAGAATACTTAGCCATTTTTTCTTGAGGTAGATTGGGTTCATCTTACCGGATTTTCATTGATGTGTAGGCTAGGGTTAATTTAGATTTGAGTTTGCGGGAGAGAACTTTTAATTAAGGAGGTTACTTAGCCTCAAAAGTAATTTGAGTTTTAGAAGTGCATTTAATTAGGTGGAAAATGATTGGGGTTATGAAGGTGTTAATGAGAGAAGCATTAATGGGGTAAGATTAGATGTGAGAGAGGGAGAGTTGGATGCTAGTGAGGTCAAGTGTGAAAGCATAGGCAGTTTGGGAGATGGTCTCTCTGGCAATATAAGAATGCTTAGAGAGGAGCAGAAATACGCGATACAGGATGGTAGAGAAATTGAGGTATAGTGAGGATCATGAAGCCTATTTGAGGTCTTGGGTATGCATGGAATCATAAAGCCTCTGTGAGGTCTTGCCGTCTTGGGTATGTTGTTTTTTTTTTTAATTCTTTCTTTTATTTAATTATTTATTTTTTGTTCTTGTAATAAACGGTGGGTATGCTAGGCATGATAATTCTCCACAACGATACTAAGTTCTCAAACAGTTTTTTATTCCTTGTACAATATTCATAGCTACTCTTCAATCTGAATTGAATTATCCACAAAATTAGTAGACCCAGCTCATTTTTCATTGATGTGTGCATTTCCTGGTGTGATTTTAGCAGATTCCATTATCTTTCATTGTTGCACAAAGGTGTTCATTTCGTTGACCATAGTATTTAAGATCAACTAGTTGAAGGAAGCACTCGTGAAAATGCAGAAAGTTTTACGTAGCCTCTAAAGTGCTTATGCATGGTTTTGTTTATTTTAGATTAAAGCTCATCAATGCAAAAAATCCTTATATAATTTCAAAATGATTTTTTTTGTTTTTATTGCATATTTTGAGCTTTGTGCAATGAAGTTTTGTCAGGCTTATTTCGTTGAAGTAAATTTTAGAGCATTTAAGAAGCTGTATAACTCGGTCATCAGGAAATGTTGAATTCAAATATGTAATCTATCTTTTTTCCATTTAGTTCTTTTCTTTGAACTAGATTATACATACATCTTGCCTGCCTGCAGTTTCATACTTGAACAGTGTTGTTTAGAGAGAAGAATCGATTCTAGGTATTGATTAGATTTGTACTATAAAAATGCATGAATATAATCCGTTGCTATGTTTCCCGCTCTTTGGAAATTAATATTATGAAATATCATTCAGCAAACTTAAGCAAAGATACCTAAAATGCAGAAAAAAAAGGCTTATCCAGTGCTCGGAGTTCTCTCGCTTGTGCGTGCAGCCTTATCCTGCATTTGTAGGGAAAGTATTTTGATCACTCTAATGGAGGAAACTTAACCACTGCCCTATGCTTGCCTTCTGTGCCTTAAAATGCAAAAGAAATGCATACTAAAAAAAACTATTATAAAGAGATAGAGATGATTTAAAGTCTTGTATATTGCATTGATAAGCTGCGCCCTTGTTTATTCAGCAAGTTTCTATGCGGTAGTCGGAATCCTCCTTTGAAAAGAACTAATTACACAATAATGAATACTAGAATGAATGATTGGCCTACAATAATGATGATTGGTCGCACGTGATCCATAAATCTAACAAAAGCATAGTTTGAGGTTGCAACTGATTTCTAGCCTAACAAAATCAACAAGCCTAGTAACACATATAGTAGAGGACAATGGCTCTAATAATAACAAACCAAAAGTCAAAATTTTGTAATTCAACCATTATATCATGCTTGATAAGTTAAATGCATAACCCCTTACTTTTAGGTGGATATCTTCTTTGCTAAATTACTTGGGTTTTCTAGAGGTTAATGATAGGAAGTACTTGTATATCTCAAGTATTTCCTATCAATATTCGAAAAACAGCAAGAATTCTCCACAAAAATCCGCACAAAATCACAAAAAGAGTAGATAATTTGTATTTTTTTGATGAAAGGGAAATGGAAAATAGCAAGATACAATTAATCCTCTATTCGAGAGGAGGATCGATCTCTCCCAAATTTCTAGACGCCGCTAGAGCCTAAAGAAAACCTAAATCTAAGATATCTCAAATTTCAGCCAAATTCAAGATGCCCTAATCCTAGGAAAACAAAGTATTTAATTCATACAAATCAAAAGAAAATCCCTAAACAGTCCCTACATTCAAATTCCCTCTTAAACTTTCTCAAAAATCCTTCCTAAATCAGTTGGTTGGCGCTTGCGGTCCGGTCGGCTACCGAAAGAGGCAGACGTCTCCGCTTCGGTTCCGTCTGGGCCGGTCCAACATGGACCAGTCTAACAGTTAACCAATGCAAAATATCACAGTTCAACCACCAATATACTTTTTAAATTTAAAAAAAAAAAACATTAATGTACGACATTATGAATCTTTTAATGTCTGTATACAATGCTGCAGGATGCTCCCGTTCCTCCTTGCATATCACAGTTGGAAGGTGGTCTCGTCCAAGTTGCAATTGAAGTAGAAGATCGTGCACAACGTTCTGCTATTACAAGTATGCTTCATGTGACTATTTTAGATGATATATCTGCACGGAAAGAATATTTCAGTCTTATAAGTTGCTGTTGTAAAAAGTATATAAAAGGAATGCTTAACTCAGTTGAATGTTAGGTGTATGGATTCATCTAAACCTTTTAGATTTTTTTCTTTTTTTAACTGTATGTGGCTTCAGATTGAACGCATATGATGTTTTAAATACTTTAATAATGAAACTGGCTTTATATAGCTTATGATTCGCTTATAAATGACTCGACTAGTTATGCGTTGTTTATACATATTTTTGTTGAATATGCTAGAAAGAGAATGATCTCCTGATTTTCCTCTCAAGATCATTTGTTTCATAGGAAGCCTGGAGAAGATGGAAGACAAAGAATATTTGTCTATTCTAATATAAAAATGCTCTCAACACTGAATTTTTTTTGGTTTTTATAATGCTTGAATATATTTGTTTTATTGGCACCATGCAATATGGAGTGATATATTTAGCCAAACCCTATGAAGTAGTAGTCTTAATTTTTATTTTTCATGTGCTCATCATGTTTCATGCGCTGCATAACAATATTAGGTTGAAGTTTCCTAGGAAGCTTCTTTGTTAGGGTTCTTATTCAATTATGATTTACATAGCCGAGAATTGCTTTTCCTGCATATGCTGTGGACATTTACAGCTAAAATTAAATATAGTTGATTTAGGCTTCATTTGGACAGCTTTTGTACTGCTTTTTAAAATGGTTTTCTAGTTAAAAAATTTCAAATTCAATAAATTTTTATATTAGGAAGCCGTTTTAGAAAGCAAGAAGAAAGCCATCCCAAACGAAGCCTTAGTCAGGGTGGAGATCAGATTGGTTTGAAGTATATGTATTTTTCTGTAAAGCAACATGTGTTTTTATATTTTTTTTTCTCGCTGTTGAAGCTAAAGCTTTACCAGGATATTCATTGAGCATCCTGTCAAATATTTCAAGCAGAAAGATTGGTTTATCTGGTTTTGTTAGTTCATTTTGATATTATTATAGATAGTTTTTTTCCTTCTAATCAGGCATCCTTAAAATGTCATTTGGGGACAGTTTACTAGAGGATTATCTCGAGTTCAAATGAATTATCTGACATTTCACATTTGTCATTAGGAGTGAATGCAGATGATGTTCGAGTTACTGTAGCTGCACCTGTCGCCCATGGTGAAGCTAACAATGAGTTGTTGGAATTCATGGGCAAGGTATTGAAGGCACCAACATGCTATTTGTACTGATTATTTGTTGTACCAAGCTCGTTATTCTTTTGATTTGTTTAATTATTTCTTGCCTGCTTCCAGTATTATTACTAGTAAATGATGCTATTAAGGCGTTGCATTGCTTGTGTTGTTTTTGAATCAGGTTTTAGGGTTGCGATTAAGCCAAATGACCCTTCAGAGAGGATGGAACAATAAATCAAAGTTACTTGTGGTGAGTTAGTTGAAACTTTTTGGCAGATGCATACTGCATTACAAGTTGAATTCCTTGCTATTTCTACTGTTACACATTTTAACCTTTTTCTTTGATAATTTAATTTTCTTGTAACCATTCAGGTTCCATAGTACATAAGTTCAGTACAGTTTAAGAAACCACAATTTCTCTTTCCGTTATTTTTGTGAAACAACTGGTTTATGAACCAAACTTCTATAGGTGCATTGGCTTTGAAAAGGAGTTGACCGGTTAAGTGGAAATAAGAGATTGCAATCTTAAGGGCATTTTAAAGAAAATATCTAACAATCTTGTTGTAAAATCATAGTAGATCCTCATGAAAGGATGATAAAAGGAGGTTTAAATAATTTAAAAACAAGTATTTTTTAGTATGGACTTAAGAATTCCACTTAGTTACTTTTGAAATTGGAGGGACCAAATAAAAGAAGAAACTTATTTATTGAGGGCCACTTATGAGAGGCTTCAAGATAGGAATATAATAGGAAAAAGAGATGTAATGGGAGAAGTTATACTTAATCTTGTAGTAGCCTATAATTTATAATTTTGAATATATACTTTAAGAAGCTGGTAATCAATTACTTTTAAAAATGGAGTTATCAAATCACAAATAGGCTTCTTTATATATATATTGCGTATTTTGTGCAAAAGTTAGTTCCATTAAGACAATTTTTTATCTGGAAATTGATCTTGCATTAGTGAAGAATATTTGGTGGTGAAGTAGGTATTGAAAGTTACGAAGGAAAAATAAACTACTTTTAAGAGTGACAACATATAAATACTATTAATGTTTATAATGATTATAAGAAAGTTAAAAAAAATGGAAATTGTGAGTAGTGAGTAAAACAAAAGCTTTAACTTTTGATGATTTATATAATTAAAAAAGATAGGCTTAAGTCTTCCAGATTTACGAAATCAATTAAAATATTATTTGTAAGCTTGGGAAGCTTAGAATTTAAGTTGCAATTAAATAGTCTTTTAGAAGATAGAAGATTTAAAATTAGTAGACTATTATTGAATATATGATACGTAATTTTTGTTATTATGATATTGTAAAATGTTAATACATATTTTTAAAAGATAAAGTAATACCCTTGTGTGACAGGGGAATAAATGATTTATAGATAGTTAAATGACAAGGTACTTCAGGAGTATTATGTACTAAGAATATATAATGGAGATCTAAAGATCATGGTTACAACTAGATTAACGGGACAATATCAAATTGACAACATAGAATTAGATAGTAATGTTATGGAGTGAAACAATAATCCACAATTAACAAATAGAACTTTTCACCTTGGGTCTCTCACTCACTCTCTTGTTGGTAGCACTTTTAATGGAGGAAGATTGAGAGAAACCGAGCGATGCCACTAGGAGACAAATGACGCACAAAGTATAGTCCGTTTGAGTGGTAGCCGGTGGCGGGCAGTACATGGGATGACTCGTGAGCATCCAACGTCTTATCCTTTCTTCCTTGATCATCAAATACGAAGCCGTGGTCGATGTTGGGATCGGTCGTCCATGGATGTGGAGAACTCTCTTCTTGAGCCCTTGAGCCGACCACTTGTCGAAGCAAAAGCGAAGAAGAGGGGGGGATCAAATACGAAGCCGTGGTCGATGTTGGGATCGGCCGTCCATGGATGTGGAGAACTCTCTTCTTGATCCCTTGAGCCGACCACTTGTCGAAGCAAAAGCGAAGAAGAGGGGGGGGGAGTCGGCTATGGTGGGGGCTAAGAGGCAAATGCTGGAAATCTGAAATAAAATTCAGATTTTAGTGGTTTAGGAAAGGGATTTAATTTGAATTTCAAATTAATTCGAGGGGGAGAGGGGCGGCAATGGGGAGAAGATTTGGGCTAAATTTGTGGAGCTATTAAGGTGATTAGGAGAGAGAGAGAGAGAGAGAGAGGAGGCCATTAAGGGGCCGGCCATGTAGGAGGTGAGGTGGCGTTGAGGTTTTAAGTAGGTGGGGACCACTTTTAAGGAGGCGGCGGCATGAGGAAAGTGGGCCGGTGGGCTGGGGCTGGCCGGCGGCTTGGGCTTCGGACTGGCAATCTGGGCAAGCCAGTAGGTGGCGGCGGCAGAGAGCAGGTGAAGGGCACGGGTAGAGAAAATTTTAAGGATCCGAGGAAAGAATTCCAATCTTCCACAAATACTTCAACCCAAATTTTCGAGCCGATGATGGGATAAAAAAAAAACTAAAAGGAAAATAATAGAACAAGGAAACCTAGAACTCACAAAGAGATCTAGCTTCTCCTACGAACTCACTAAGAGATCGAGGAGGTTTGCACTCACAAAGAGAACAAGAAATGTAAACTTTCATTCATCAATCATCATCCCATTACATAAGAAAATGGTCATATATATAGGCCTCAAAATGATAAAGAAAACGAAAGACTAAAATGCCCCTTGGGCTACAATAGCAACCAAATACCCGCAAGAGCAAAAGCGGAAAACTGAAAAATAAAATAAACTACTAAATAAAATTACTCAAAATAAAACTCATGATCGTGGCCGTCGATCTTCGGCGTCTCCTGATGGTACATGTGTCGAAATTGCTGACGATGTCCTCATCAGATAACATATAAATACTATTAATGTTTATAATGATTATAAGAAAGTTAAAAAAAATTGGAAATTGTGAGTAGTGAGTAAAACAAAAGCTTTAACTTTTGATGATTTATATAATTAAAAAAGTTAGGCTTAAGTCTTCCGGATTTACGAAATCAATTAAAATATTATTAGTAAGCTTGGGAAGCTTAGAATTTAAGTTGCAATTAAATAGTCTTTTAGAAGATAGAAGATTTAAAATTAGTAGACTATTATTGAATATATGATACGTAATTTTTGTTATTGTGATATTGTAAAATGTTAATACACATTTTTAGATGATAAAGTAATACCCTTGTGTGACAAGGGGAATAAATGATTTATAGATAGTTAAATGACAAGGTACTTAAGGAGTATTATGTGCTAAGAATATATAATGGAGATCATCATTAGCTTTATCCTAACTATACATTTTTATGAGTTCTCTTTTTTCTATTGTTTATTTGAGGTGTTAGACCTTTTCTCGCAAATCATGAAGATTTAAAGATTTATTTTTTAAAAATTGTAATTAGGCTAGATATATTGTTATGGATTGGAGTGTTGGATGGTAAAATACTAATTGATAGTTATTCTAGGCTTGATTTAAATGAGAATGCTAAGATGAATGTGATAAATTAGAAAAGATTAATTAAGGGATTATTATTTTAAACAAATTTATAGTAACATATATTAAAGATACTTGAAATTTTTGGTGGGTTGGACATGTATAGTTAAAGATAGAAAATGAACTCATTAGATTAGGAAATAAATTTAGTGTTTAAAATTAGGAATGAAAATGAGTAGAAGTAACATAAATAATTGTTAGATGAATATGTGAAGAACAAGTGAAGACCTCATGTAGTGCTTAATTGAAAATAATGGATGATAAGGATTCATAAAGTTACCCTAAATTAATTGGGATGAAGCTAACAATTATTATAATGATGGTCTTAGGAGCATACAAATAATGATCAAAAGAATTAATCACCTTAAGAAAAAAATGATAACCCTTGAAAGCCAAAAAGATATTATTCTTTCAAGATTGTTAACTGGACAACTTGGAATTATTTAGCTGAACTAAATTTGATCTTGAGATGAGATGAATAATTTTAAAATATTATGCAGCAGTTTTGTTATTATCTTTATTATTATTATCATTATCATTATTCACGTGTGATGGGTTGCTATTCTCCCAAGAAATTGCATACTAGTACTATCTCACATCACAGTTTATTCACACATGCATTGCGACACAGTAATTCCACCAAACATATTCAGCCATCCACAATACGTGCAGTATGTCTTAGCATATGCTAGTTCATGTCAAATTTCATAACATGATACCAACATTCATATAGCATAGTTGAGAAATATACCATGTTGCATGCTTTGTCATGTCAACATAGTAAAATTAATGCATGGAATTGCATCATGAATAAAACAGTTCCCATGGGCGGATCCCCCTTAAGCCCGGGGGTGGGGGCGCAATTGCTCCTCTAAAAAAATTAAAAAAATTTTATTATATGATTTTTTAGGTAATTTGTCCCTCTTCATTTTATTTATTAATTTGAATTGCAAAAATATCCTAACTACCAAAATTTGTTTCGGGGGCGCTCCCCCGGAAAACCCCGCAAGGGCGCTGTCCCTTGACCCTGCGACCTGATCGGGCAAGTCGAACCCCGCAGGGGGCACTGCCTCCTTAGAGCCCCATCATATTTGCGAAGCGTACGACGATGAAGGATATGAACAAATAGGGGTCGATCCAAATTCAAGGCAACTTCAACATACATTTTGTAGAAATTGAATGATTAATCATCTTTCGCAATCATTTTCTGTTTGTCTCTATTGCTTGGTCACTATTGACCCATTTTTTGAGGCGAAAGGTCAAGCAAAATTCGAGGCAATAATAACAGTTACTTATAAGTTGTTTGCCCCCTCTGAAAATTAAGGCTGGGTCCGCCCCTGATGTTTCCATTGCACTCACATTGTCTATAATGTTGGAGCACTTATCATTAAACTTTGTTTTTTATGGAAAAAAGTTATAGTAATAAGTTCGATCTCACAAACCTCAGAACTTTTTGAGAACTGCTGCATAACATCATGACGCCGTCTCTTCCAACGCTTAGGAAACCCATGAGAACTAGTTTATGATAAGCATAATTCTGAAGCCATGAAATGAAGTTAATTAAGTACTAATTACCCATAAATTCTAATTACTTTCACTCTTGAAAAGGACAAATAAATGTTAAATCACCCCATAATCCTCTTATTTATTGTTCTGATTCTACAAAATATCGGTATATCATGGCATATATAACATGTAACAGTACAAATATGTATAATCTGGCATGAGAACAGACATCATACTATTCTGCCAACCATGCTTTAGAGTTCATGCGTCGTGACCAAGTGATATTGGTCTATAAGACTTTATATTATTCATCAAGCCATTCATCAATCAAGTTGTTCTCTTCCAATAAACTCCATATGGAACATCACCATCTATACGGGGCTGTTTGGTAGTAGGATTTAGGCCGGATTTGAGCGAAATCCAGCCAAACGGCCTAAAATGCAAAACCGAATCTCACGGCAAATGAAAGCCGTCGTAGACGGAAAATTCTGTCTTTTCGTGCTAAATCCTGGATTTCCGAAATCCTATTTTTTATGGATTTACGAATTCCATTGGCTCGAGAGAAAGAGTCCGCTCGTTAAATCCCCTCTATAACCAAACAGTCACACAGGATTTAATAGGATTTATCATGAATGTTACCAAACAATTATCAGGATTTAGGCCTCTCAGGATTTCCGAAATTTGGATTTAGAAGATTTACATAATCTTATTTAAATCAAATTCTGGGTGCTACCAAACAGCCCCTAAATCTTTTCTTCTAATATAAAGTAGGTTCTGCTTATAATAACTAAACTTCTTGAGAGTTTCTATATATATACTTGAAGAAGAAGAAAAAACCAGCCACCTTACTTATAAGCCAATAAAACATAGCCTCATAACAAATCAAAGATTTTATCACAGAACAAACTCATTCATCATCTACTTTGGCATAAAATTATTTATAAATATAATATTATTTGCTTATAATTGACCTAATTAACTGATTAATTAAACATAATTCACCTATCAATGATGCCTAATTACATTAATGAGTTATGGGGTATTACACAGGTTGAAGATTTAACAGCAAGACAAGTATATGAGAAGCTTTTGGAGTCTGTGCAACCCTAACACTATCTTATAGCTTCATCATCATCGCTGGAAGAAACTGTCACTGATCTGATAGCATGCTTGTTAAACACTTTCTGTTACAATGCATATAATTTATTTTTGTGAGATAACTTTCTTTTCAGAAGATTTCTCGAGTCTACTGTGGTTCTGATTAGATCTCTCAGGTACCTAAACTTTTATATTTTTATATTTTGAACTGTTGCTAAGGCACTTAGATGTTCATTCTCTTGGATACCAATTGAAGTGAGATCTTTATATAGATATCAGGTATTTTTGGGGGGAAATTAGGGGCTTAGCCCGTGTCATTATATGTTACATTTGTAAAAGAAAGTAAAACAAAAATCCAAAGAAAAAATTCTAACAAAAGAAGCTGCAAGAGCTGCCATAAAAAAAAGAGATATGCTTAGCCAAAAAGGCTCAGGAACAAGAGAAATTATTCTGTTCGGTCATCATATTAACACTCTATTTTGTAAATGCAAAGTTAATTAAAATTTATATCTAAATAATTATTTATTGTTTTTTCTTCTAATTTTTTTTTTCCATTTTAATATTGCTTGAATGATAATCATTCTATCTTTCCTAATTAACAACAATCTAGCACATGTAGAATAATTCATGCTCGATTACAGTTTGAGCTTCTTTGGGATAACTTTCTTAATATTTTCTGTTAAATCTCAACCTTACGATCCCAAAGATATCAACGACTGAGAACAGTAATTCGTGGGAAGACCACATGGATAGCATTAATTCCCTCCATTGATTTATGAATAATTGTATTCTCATTATTATAAGAGTTATTTGTTTTCTTATCAATACATCTTGTATAGATCTATAAATAGGGAGTAAATTGCATAATAAATTCAAGCTTTTCACTCTCAAATTCTCCATTTTAACATGGTATCAGAGCCGATCGGAGGCCTTCATTGTCGAACGATCCAACCTTCTAACGCTGCAAGAGGTCGAAGCAGTGCCGATTCTACCCATCGCTACCGCAGACGGACACCTTGACTCCATCAGAACTATCGTCGAAGGAGCCTAGACGAACAGCCACGAGGGAAACGAAGGAGACGAAGGAGCGGTCATACCCGTCCAAAACTGTCCGTGCGGAAGACCCTTCTGAAGCCAATCGGAAGTTCGTCCCGATAGCTAAACGAGAACCTGATCCTGCTCTTCCGCTCGATCGGTAGGAACCGCACGAAGTCCCGATCGCACGAGCTTCCTGGAGGAGCCCGATTGAAAGTAGGGACAGACACGGGCCAAGCGTCGGGTTGGACTCGGCGGCGTGGATTCGACTGCTGGGGTGGAGTCGGACGGCGGCATGGCAACAGGCATTGGAGTTGGCCCGGAAGAGCGGCGGCCTGGTTAGGGCAGAAGTAGGTCACGGCCGGTTGCTGAGCCCGGCCAGACACCAGCTCCTGCTTTCACCTTCTCGGATCTTGCCAACCCAACCTTCGTCTGAGGCATAGCCCGAACCCGTGCCCCTTTCTCGATCCGAGCCTTTGTTTTAAAGGCTCGGCTGGTGTGTTATAAAAAAAAAACATTTATTGTCGATTAGAAAAAAAATTTTGGGAGCCTTCATTGTTGTCCAAAAATCAAATAGATAGTCTTCATTACTATTATTTGAATAAAAAATGTCAGAAATTAACTCTTCTTCAAAGATTGACCAACTTGAGGATTCTATGGTGCACCAAGGGCGAAGTGACATTCAAAGCATGCAACCTTCCTATCGTCTAAATGGGAAGAACTTCCTAAGCTGGTCTCAATTTGTGAAGACCTACTTGAAGGGGAAAGGTAAAATACATCACCTCCTTGGAGAAGGACCAAAAGAAGGAGATCCCAAATTTGGGGCATGGGATGAAGCAGACTCTATGATTATGTCATGGATATGAAATTCCATGACTCCAGAAATTAGTGATACATTTATGTTCCTTTCAACGGCAAAAGACATATGGGATGCTACTAGACAAACCTACTCCAAAGCTCGTGATGCGGCCCAAATCTTTGAAGTTAAAGTCAAAGTTGGAAGCACGAAGCAGGAGAGTAAGACTGTGATGGAGTATGCCACCATCCTACAAAATATGTGGCAGGAATTTGATCACTATAGGTGCATAGAAACCAGATGTCCGGAAGATGCGGCGATCCTAAAGAACTTTATTGAAAAAGATAGAGTTTATGATTTTCTTGCATGACTAAATGCAGAATTTGACCAAGTTAGAGTTCAGATCATTGGCAAAGAGGAAACACCATCACTCAACGAAATCATTTCTCTCATCCGCGCAGAAGAAAGTCGACGAGGAGTGATGTTAGAACCAAAGGTCGTTGAAAGCTCAGCAATGGTGATGAACAAAGAATCACCATGGAAGGAGAAATGTAAAGATTCTTCAAAATTCAAAGATAAAGACTCACTGTGGTACAGCTATTGCAAAAAGTAAAGACACACAAAAGAAACATACTGGAAGATTCATGGAAAACCCCCAGCAAAGAGTGGAATAAAAAAGGTGAGACAAGGAGCACATCACATGTCAACAACACTACGAGTAAGCTAGAAGCTTAGTCCAGCCTTGGAGAATTCAACAAAGAAGATATTGATAAATTGAAACGACTCCTGATATCTCTTGAAAAATCAAATGCTTCTTCTTCACTTGCACTCTCAGGTAAGACTCTAATTTCTATTAGTTTAAGTGCTTACAGAAATCATTTAAAGAAATTATGGATCATTGATTCATGAGCCACATATCATATGACCCACTCACCAAACCACCTCATAAATTATACTCCTTGCCCAAACAACAAAAAAATCATCACTGCTGATGGTTCTCTTACCACGATAGTTGGCCAAAGAGACATCATATTATCCCCATTCCTCACCCTAAAAAATGTGCTCCACGTATCACAATTATCCACAAACCTGATATCATAGAAAAACTTACTAATGACCATAATTGTCAAGCATTGTTTAAACCTTCTTATTGCTTATTGCAGGACCGGAGATCGGAGAAGAAGATTGGACTTGCTAAGGAGAAAGTAGGATTGTACTACCTGGAAGAACCAAACCAATCTAAAAGGAGTTTCTCTTTATTATCCCTAATCGATAGGAAATCTACTATTTGGCTTCATCATTATAGACTAGGACACCCATCTTTAGATGTCTTAAAACATATGTATCCACAACTTTTTCATCAATTAGACAATAAACTTTTCATTGTGAAACCTGTGAGTTGGCTAAGCATAAAAGAACCTCATTCCCAAACAAAAGTGAGAGATGTGCTACGCCTTTCTTCCTTATTCATAGTGATATTTGGGGACCCTCTAAAATTCCCAATATCTCTAGGGCATGCTGGCTTGTGTCATTCATTGATGATTGCACTAGTCTCTTGGATCTATCTCCTTAAACAGAAATCTTATGTTAGCACCATTGATCCCATCTTTCATTCCATGATCAAAAATCAATTCGGGGTAAAAATAAAGAGTTTCCGCTCCGATAATGCCAAAGATTATTTCAACCATACCCTTTCCTCCTACTTCTAGAATGAAGGGATCATCCATGAGTCCTCCTGTGTTCACACCCCACAACAAAATGGGGTTGCAGAGAGAAAAAATGGTCACCTTCTAGCCTCCACACGAGCTTTCTTATTTCACTACAATACACCCAAATCCTATTGGGGGGAAGCTCTTTTAACTGCATCAGATCTCATAAACCACCTACCTTCAACAACCTTAGGACTCAAAATTCCAATGGAGACCTTGTCCTCTTTTTATCCAGAGTTTCAAACTCATCATAGTCTTGCACCCAAAATCTTTGGATGCACTGCCTATGTTCATATCCACAGCTAAGAACGAGGAAAATTAGATCCAAGAGCACTCAAATGCATCTTTGTTGGCTACTCTGCCACCCAAAAAGGGTATAAGTGTTATCATCCATCAACAAGAAAAACCTTTGTCTCTATTGATGTTACCTTTACTAAACATGATTCCTATTTTTCAAAAACTCATCTTCAGGGGAAGACTGAACTTGAGGAAGATGAGGAAAATGAACTAACACCTCTTGACCTTCCTCCTCCACCTCAGAACAATCCACCTGAAACCCAAGAAAGGGAAACAAATGACAACGTTATTAGATTTGGAAAGGTTTACTCCAGACGTACAAGCTCAAGCTGTACTCCAAAACAGATCTAAGAATCTGAACCATCTCCTGGAAATAAAGTAAGTTCACCACCTCCCTTATACCCTATAAACAACTCTATATCCTTCAACAACTTCTCATCGTCACACAAAAATTTTCTTGTTACATTAAAAGATAACTATATTCCTAAAGATGTTTATGAGGCCTCATCTGATAAAAATTAGAAAAATGCCATGAAGGATGAAATGCAGGCCTTGGAGAAGAACAAAACTTGTGATATCGTCAATCTACCGATAGGAAAAAAATAGGTCGGCTGCAAATGGGTGTTCTCAGTAAAATACAATGCTGATGGCACACTAGAGAGATATAAGGCAAGACTGGTGGCAAAAGAGTTTACTCAAACGTATGGCATTGGCTACCAAGAAACGTTTGCGCCTATAGCCAAGATGAATACTGTCCGAATACTTCTCTCACTAGCAGCCAAGTACGATTGGCACCTGGAACAATTGGATGTGAAAAATGCATTCTTGCATGGGGACTTAGAAGAAGAGATATTTATGAAAATACCACCAGGGTTTAAAGAAAAATTTGAAGGTAACAAGGTGTGCAAACTGAAAAAGGCTCTATATGGGCTCAAACAATCACCAAGGACCTGATTCGAAAGATTCTCTAAATTCATGCTCCTGAATGGGTATCGACAGAGTCAAGGGGATCATACACTATTCTTCAAACACTCAGACTCGGGGGGAGTTATAATATTATTAGTGTATGTTGATGATATTATTTTGACTGAAAATAATGAAGAGGAGAAAGCCAGCTTAAGAAAATGTCTTACTAAGGAATTTGACATCAAAGAACTTGGTAGACTAAAATATTTCCTCAGAATTGAAGTAGCTCACTCCAGCAAAGGAATCTTTATTTCACAACAGAAATACATTAAAAATCTTCTAAGAGAAACAAGTAAACTAACCTGTAAACCAGCACTAACACCAATAGAACCTAATCTTAAACTGGAAGAAGCTAAAGAAGATCCATATGTAGATAAAAGGGCCTACCAGAGACTTGTAGGGAAATTAATCTATCTCTCACACACCAGATCAAACATAGCATTTACTGTAAGCATGGTCAGTCAATTTATGCAGAATCCAAAGCAGATTCACATGCAAGCGGTAGACAAGATCTTGCACTACCTTAAAGGAGGACATGGAAAAGGAATTCTCTTTAAGAGAGATCGTGGAATAACCCTAGAAGTATATACGGATGCTAACTACGCAGGATCACCGTTTGATAGAAGATCTACTTCTGGGTATTGCACATTTCTTGGAGCCTGAGGTAACCTAGTTACATGGAGAAGCAAGAAACAGAATGTGGTGGCAAGATCCAATGCAGAAGCAAAATATCGAGCTATGACCTTGGGAATATATGAGCTACTATGAATCAAAATAATCATAGATGATTTAAAGGTTAAGTGGGATGAGCCCATGAAACTATATTGTGACAACAAATCAGCGATCAACATAGCCCACAATCCAGTCCAGCACGATAGAACCAAGCATATATAAGTGGACAAACATTTTATTAAAGAAAAACTAGACAGTGGTCTAGTAAGTGTTGACCATGTACCATCAAATGATCAACTTGCAGATATCCTTACTAAAGGATTTGACAGTTCTGTCTTTCTCCGAATGATTGACAAGCTGGGAATGACGGATCCATACTTCACAGGTTGAGGGGGAGTGTTAAATCTCAACTTTACGATCCCAAAGATATCAACGGCTGAGAACAATAATCCGTGGGAAGACTACCTGGATAGCATTAATTCCCTCCATTGATTTAGGAATAATTGTATTCTCATTATTATAAGATTTATTTATTTCCTTATCAATACACCTTATATAGATCTATAAATAAGGAGTAGATTGCATAATAAAATTCAAGCTTTTCACTCTCAAATTCTCCATTTTAACAGTAAAGCATATTTTTAATAAAAAAAATTTAAACAAAAAATTTTATATTTAACAGCTGCTTTCAACCATCCCAAATGAAGCCTTAATACCAAATTTAAAAAGAAAACAATTAAAATAACATTAAAATTGCATAAAAATAAAAAATAATAATAATAATGGCCTGCTCACAAAACAAAACAAATCAAGAACCAACTAAAAAAACTCATTGAATCAGGCATAAATAAACAGTTCAAAACCAATGACTATAATGCTGATTACAACTTTTAAAGCTTTTTACTCTTCACTTCTGCAGTCACCAATAGCAAGTTTCAAGAGATTCTAAAAATTTCTCAAGCATAATCAAACAGCATCAAAATCAGTAATGATCAAAGTGCAAAAATCAGCTCAGATTAAAAAGGAAAAAAATTCCAAACATTTGTCAGCTATTAAACAAAACTGCATTGTGAAATCTATCTCCCTCAATCTAAATTACTAGGTTAAGAAGAGGCACCACTGCGCAGAGCCTGAGCCTTCTTTGGTTTCCTAGTTGCAATTTGGGCCTCCGGCTGCCGAAGCCATAAACCAGCATCAGATGAATATTGACAGGCTTCATTTGGGTCGGCTTTCTTATTGCTTCTTAAAACAATTTTTTAATATAAAATTAAAAATTTTTGTACTAAAAAATTGCTTTAAGAAGCAGAAAGAAAGCCGTCCCAAACCAAGTCTAGGTCAAAATTTTCAAATTTCAACGGTAGCTGAGAATGAGATAGAAGGGGAAACTAACCTCTTTCTTAACTGGTTCTTCCTTCTCAGACAGGATCAGTTCAATGTGACAAGGAGATGACATGTAAGCTGCAAGAGAACCATGTCTATTAATGAGTCCAAGGACTCAGCATGATTGCTTGGAATTGGATAAAAAGATTTTAAGAACCAATGATTAAAATTGTGTATTCGGGTATTGAGACGTTTTTCATTTGTGAGACGAGGCGTAAGCCTTAAGGCGTTTTGAGGCGTAAGCCTCAAAATCAAAAGATTGCATAAACATAAAATGATAATTTTTTTTTATACTAATGAGTGAATAATATAAAACATAAAACAACATAAGATATGAAGTGAAATCAAAATATCTCAATAATAAGACAACATGAAATATAGTTCAACTCAAAATTCTATCTTTCCCAAATCACAGTATTCTTTTCATTAACATATAATTTCAATTTGCAAAAAATAAATAGCAATGACATATCACATAAGAACTCATAAGTTATAAGCACTATCATCACTAAGGGATTCTTCATTTGAATCATCATTATGATTACATTTTCTAAAAAACTTCTCTCTAAATATGAAATTAAATAATAATAAGAAAAATGAAAAATCTAAAATACATAATTTTGCATGATTTTATAAATAAAATTTTATATATAATTTATAGATGCAAATTATATCTAAATATATAACATAAATTAGTAATAATTTATATTAAATTTATATAATTATATAAAAACTAAACTTCTATTAAATATGAATTAAAATCAAAGATTGGAGATATTTATATTTATGTTTAAAATTTATGTTTAAAATTAGTAATTGTTATATTTAACTTTAAAAGTATGTATTATATTATATATGTACGAATTTTATTTATTTTGTACTCTCAAAATTCTTTAAATTATGAAGTTTTTAAGGTTAGATTGTCATCATTATTATGTTAATTTTATTAATTTTTAATAATATTATTATTTATTACATCATTCGGTTCGATCCCAGTTTGAACCTTGAACCTCTCCTTCTGGTTCATTATCCGGTCCGATTTTCGCAACCTTGATCATTACAATATTGTATTTCCAGTCTTAGTTTGTTTCTAATCATTTTATCTTTATTCCAATCATCAAGACCAATATTGTCATCTCATTTTACATAGGTTTCAATTATTTCTTCGCATCTTCAAGTATCATCTACTATACATAATAGTCCAATAGTCATGAAATAATTATAAAAAATAGAAGAAAATATAATGATTTGCATGGATTCTCTCTTCTAGGTTTGCAGAAGATTCACCTTCTTCCCCTTGTACCTTATGCTCTCAGTTCAAGGTTTCAACTTCTTCAAGCCTTCCAGAAGCCGTCCACTACAACCATAATCAAACCATATTTCTTCATATCTTCTGTGCTTAGGTGCAGTTTCGATGCAATTCTTTCTATTTTGTGCAATTGGTGGGTACAAACTTCGGAAGAAACTATCTTCTGGTTCATAGATTGTTATTTTCGATTATTTCTCTCTTTTTTCTTTTCTAATCCATATTCTTTTAGTTATTCGTCTACTTGCACGAGTGGATTTAATCAAATTTAATATTTGGATTATTCTAATTGTGGTGTAATTTTTTATTGAAATATAGTTTTATGGTCTTAAATTTGTGTAATTTCTAAAAAATGATTATTAAATCATCGTCTATGTGGACTTTGTGCTTCTTTGATTTTCATCTTAAGATATACATTTTCCCAAGCATCGGCGCAAAAAACTTGACAAAGTGGATATTCTCTATGCCACTGTTGACCTCATTTCTGTCTGAGATCATTTAAACATCAAAACCCTGATTTACAATCAACATGCCTAGTGCACTGCATCTTGCAGTACACTGGTTCCTTGACTTCAAGCACTGTTGAAACCTCACCATCAGAAGCTTCATACCTTAAATCCATCAACCCTAACTCTATAAGCCAATGCTTGACTCAATTGAGCTCAATCTAACCTAATTGATCAAACCCCTATACTGGCCTATTACAAACTCCATTTCTTCTCAGAACTTCACCAAATTATTTTAAACATAGCTCCTCTTACATTGAACATGTTTAGTCAACCTGTTTAGTCAAATGATGACTTGGTCAACACAACGCAACCCAAGACTGATCAAATCATTGCATATGACCAAATACACTCTAAGAAGGTTCTAGAGTTGGTTTGTGCCAGCCAAATGGTTTGATAAAGGCTAGACGCAAGGGTTTATCAAGGTTTGGCCATTTTAATATTTTTAATGTATTTGACCACTTTGACTAGTCAAACTTGATCAAGCCAGCTTATTTATTTTGTCAACACAAACAATTTTTAATTAATAAATTTTAATTTTAATGCTTAGATAAATTGTGTTCAACTAGGAGTACAAGAGATTTATTATTATAATCTTATTTTAACTCATTACGATCTTATTTTGATATTTTATTTTGATGTTAGTATCTTATTTATTATTTATTTTTTTATTAATGTAATAGTTTAATTTTGAGGCCTAAGCCTTAAAATGCCTCGTCTCACGGATAGAGATGGCCTCAATACCCAATTGCACAAATTTGAAGCCTTGATTTTAGGATATATGATTATGTCCATTTTTAAGAATCATCTAATAATAAACATTAGTCCAATGATCATACAATAGTTATGATATAGTAGAATAAAAACTATGATGTTTTGCATGACTTTTCATTCCTCCTAAGCGTGTGAAATTGTCTCCTTTCTCCCTACTACTATTAGTGTAAGGCTTCTTCCTATTTCCTCAACTTCTCCAAGGCTTTCACAAGTCATCCACTACAACTTTACTCAGTCACAACAATCAGAAACACAATCCAACTAGCCCCTAAATCAAGGCATTGCTTCTTTGATCATAAACATCACCCCTATATTTATAGATGTGAACAAAACATTCAATTAGCGATGTGATCAGTAAAAGGCATAATCAAATATAGGTGTAACAATCTTTCAATTAGTTAATGCAAAGTAACAGAGGCAGAAATCCAGGAATTATCCTTCAAATCCTTCTAACAGTTAGATTCCACAATGATAGCAAAACTACTGTACAACCACAGATAAAACCACACAATCAGTTTGGCTTACAAAGCGGATGATGAGGCAGCGTACTAAATTTTGTATAAGGTACAAAAAATGGAACCACCACATATAAGAAATGGATCAAATTATACAAAGTTTTCACTGTAAATAAAAATCATTCTACTATCTTGATGTAATGGATCAAATTATACACCAATATCATAATCAGATATATCATGTTAGTTCAACTAAGAATCACGACAAAAAGATTTCATGTATCAATGTTAACTGAACCATTTTTCTATTGATTATTCAAAATGGTTCACCCAATAACAATGACTTCAGTTTCCCTAAAGTTTACGAAGGCCAGTTTAAAATGATAACAGGCTCTGCTTTTCTTAAGGTGATTGGCGAAATAGATATATGTTTATTCTACAAGAAAATCTAATAATCTATCTCAAGAAAAATGTAATTTTCCTATGCATTATAACCTCTTGTTCAAAGTACCACCAAAAGAACATAAAAAATCAATTAGTTCGTTAGAGAAATGATGCTCCGTAGCTAAAGTTCCTAGGAAATTTTCACATACAAATGTTTGACAGCTGAAAAACTTCCTGCATTTCAAAATGATAAGGATTCGGTAGAAATAAAATAAAATTTGTTGTAAACAAAATATAACATTAGAAACTTTGCTTTTGTTTCATCATTTACTTAATAAGATTAGCCATTGGCTTTACCCGATAGTCTTTCCACAAAGTAGTTTTTCTTAAAATTTCCAAGAGGGCCATTAAGATGGGCAATTTTGTCAGGTAGAAATAATCTCACCATAATATAACCAATCACAGGCAACATATTAAATAAAAGTATGGCTACCTTCTAAAATCATCTAGAACAATACAACAGCTATAAGAAGGAATAACTGTAAAACAAATTTTACTTGGATCACTTCAAACACCGGCATATAAGAATTACAACTGTAGAAACAAGTCAAAGCATTAGAGTTTCATCTAGAATCGACAAAATAATATGCTCAACAATAAAAACAACTTTAGCATAATAAAAACACCTCCGGTGACACCTCCATTAAACTCATTACTTAGCAAAAAGACACTATTAAATGCATTTTTAAGTGCCAGATTACAAAAGCATGGTTAGTGAACTTAAGACAAAAAATGGCTCGAAATATATGCTTTATGATATTGATGACTTAAACCAATTCATTATCAAATATATCTACAAATAATTATTATCTCCAATATTTACCAGAAATCAGTTGATAACACTTGAAAAGACATTTGCTCATCAAATCTATCGCCTAAAGCACTTCAGCATCAAAACATTAGAAATGGCCGACCAAATAACACTAGATATGAAATTCATTAAATTTTGGGATCTATTCATGGTAACAACCTGGCACTTCATTCAATTCAGGGGCCTAATGCCAGAAAGCCGCCATTCAATATGGTTAAACTACTGACATGAACTAAAAAATAGAAAATCTAGGCCTCGTTTGGCTCAGCACTTCAGCGTGTCTACAGCATTTTTTATTTCAAAACGTCAAAAATTAGTTTTCGTCGTTGTTTGGATATAATGCTTATATAAAATAGCTTTTTACAGAGCATCAATTTTCTACCGAATTTGAAATCATTTTCACTTCAGCTTTTCAATAGCAACTTCCATTCTCACATAGTAAAATATCTGAAATGCCCCCCATGTCCGCAGAACTCTTGGTTTTTTACAGGAAGAACAGAAGGTTCGGTGACGAAATAAAATGGAAGTTTCAATGATTCTGTGAGGTTTTAAAGAGATAAATGTGAAGAAGAAGCCTTGTCTATCTTCATACCGAACCCCTGAATCACGAACACAGCGGAGATGAAAGTGCCGTGGTTTTTTTTTTATTGTCGTATTCGGACATGATGCTGGTGGAAAGTGGGTAATCATCGCTGATGCCAAAAGCCGAGCCAGATGCGGAAGAAGCATAAGGTAGCCATAACGCCTTTAGCAGTGTGACCGAAGGAGGCAGGACACAATAGAACAGATGACCGCGAGCATGAGAGTCAGGCCATAAACTTTTTTGCGGCCAATCTTGTTGCCAAGCCAACCGAAGAAGAGTTGACTGGCGAGAGTGACACAGAATGCGACGCCATTGACTGCGGTGGAGGCGTTCAGGGGGAGGCTGCCTGGGTAGATGTGGCCAAGGAGTTTGGTTACCAAGGAGATATAGAACAGATCATAAGAGTCGGTGAAGAAGCCCATTACAGTGATGACGATGGCCTTGAAGTGGCATAGTTGGGTTTTGGCCAAGTCAAGCTTGTTAAGAACTTGGAGAGCTCTGGTCATCATTGTTGAAATTCTTGAAGAAGCCAGAGAAGTAGCTTGTTCTTATTCTTCTACCTCATGATCTCAGAGAAAGCTAGGCGAAGGTGTTGGCTTTACTGAACTGTGGATTGAATTTGGGGAACTTTTATTTGGTCCAGTGCAAGGACCTAGAGGAAGATTCGGTTTTGCCTCAAAAAGTGCAAATACCGAGTTTTTTGAAAAAATACCGAGTTTTTTCTATTTTTGCCTAAAACCGAACCTTCCTCTACATCCAGTGAAAGGACCTAATAATTGCTCGAATTTGGGTGGTTATATTTGGATATGATATTTAAATGAGAGTTTTTAAAAATTTTCTATATTTCTTAATGTCTTTAAGAATTAAAAAAACATATAATTAATTTTAATATAAGGAAAGTTCAGCCTTTTATGATTAAAAGGCTAAAACTGATAACACAACCAAACAATTTATATCCATTTTTCGGTTTGCATAAAAAAGCCAAAAGCAATCTAACCAAACAACCACCAATTTATTTAAACAACTTTTTTTAAAAACTCATTTTTCTCAACATCTTTTCTAAAACAACATTTTGCATCATCAACAACCCAACTAAATGAGGTGCTAATTGAAGAATAAACCAAATAAGCAATTTAAAATCGGTTGACTCCAAACACTGAACAGGTAAAATCATTGGCACTGATACACATGAACAGCAACAAGTAACTGAACCATGAATTTAGATAGAGAACATTAGGTGAGACGCTATTTACATCAACAAATAAAACAAATTATTTTGGGAAAGCTAAAAGAATTTATCTCCAAAGCTAAAAAATAATGGAATAAATTTTGTACCCTTGCCAAGTTTAAAATAAAGCGCTTGTAGCATCTTGGCTATCATGTTTAAAAACAAAATCAACGATGACCAAACTAAACCGTGGCTTCAGTAAATCCTTAAAAGACTTAGACCAATCCCAAGAACTGCATATTACTTAGAATCTCAAGTACATCATATATGAATGCAAAAAAAAAAGTACTGCAAATAGAATCTAGCTCTATAATCGCCTGCCCCAAGGTACCTACAAAAAACTGAGACCCAATGGAGAAGCTCATATTTATTTCTTATCCTCATATGAAACCTTGAATTAGTATACATCATTCTATGGTTCTTTAATCCAAGAGGCTCTCCCAACAAAGGGCTTGATTAACTCAATTAGTCTACTTTTAGATATGCAGACAATTCAAGTCGAGCTTGAGTCACGGCTAACTCAAGGTTAGCTCACCTACCCATAAACAAGCTCGAACCTTGAGCTTGAGTTGAGCTCATATGGCAACTACAGGAAGAGCTCGGCTCACCATACTAATACCAACGTTTTAAAAGGCGAAATCGGGAATCGAGGCGTTTTGGCTAAGCGAGGCGAGGCGTAAGCCTCGAGGCGGATTGAGGCGTAAGCCTAAAAAATGATAAAAATAAAGTAATTAACAGTGCCGAGCATGTACCGCTCGGTACGGAGCAAGTACCC